AGGAGTCGAATCAGGAATTTGGGGAAACCCTTTCCAACTTAACCAGTGTTATTAGAAGGCAGACATGAAAAAAAATATCCACCAGGCTTCCCAAAAGCCATTTCGGGAAGACTTCTTCGGATTTCCTGGGGGAACGTGCACCACTTGGAGATCTTTTGGAGAGAGGTGGGGGTAGGGAAAAAAACCATAAGCAACGGAACCCCCCCCCCAAAAAAACCCAGCAGTGCCTCCTTCCCACCGCACTGACCTGTAAAAAGGGCAACGTTGGCGTGCTTGGGGTCGTAAGGGCAGCGGGCCATGCCACTGATGTTGTCCCCCATCGGTTCTAGATAGTCCATCTGTTGGGAGGAGCATGGGTTAGAACAGGGGGCTTCAAACTTGGCCCTTTTATGACTTGTGGACTTCAGCTCCCAGAATTCCTCAGCCAGCGTGCCTGGCTGAGGAATTCTGGGAGTTGAAGTCCACAAGCTGGGGTCTTCAAACTTGGCCCTTTTATGACTTGTGGACTTCAGCTCCCAGAATTCCTCAGCCAGGCACGTGTGCCTGGGTGAGGAATTCTGGGAGCTGAAGTCCACAAGTCATAAAAAGGCCTAGTTTGAAGACCGCCTGGGTTAGAAGAACTGACACAGAATCCCAACCCAAAAGAGACCAGAACCAACTTAGCTCTGACGTGCAAGACTTACAAACCTCCAAACGGTGGACTCACAACGTCTGGAGGCAGGGTTAGGTCAAAAAAGTCAAGATGGCGGCCACAGTGAACAGCTGAAGCTCTGCTTGTTTTTGTTTTTGTTTTAATATGCATCACAACACGGTAGCTGACATCCTGATTATTTGTACCATGTTGTGTAGACACCCCTGGCTAGGGTGCCCCCATGCTGGCTGGGGAATTCTGGGAGTTGAAGTCCACAAGTTTTCAAGTATCTATCTTATCTTATCTTATCTTATCTTATCTTATCTTATCTTATCTTATCTTATCTTATCTTATCTTATCTTATCTTATCTTGAGGACCCTTGGTTTAGGCTCTCCTGCTTGAGCAAGAGGTTGGACTAGATGACCTCCAAGGTCCCTTCCAGTTCTATTCTGATTGATTGATTGATTGATTGATTGATTGATTGATTGTTCTTCCAAGTCGGGAAGTCAGGCAGAGGAAGCTGAGAGAACGGGATCAGATACTCACACTGTAATCGGAGCAAACGGGGTTGAAGGCATTCGTCCCGCACACAAAGAGCACGTTGTCGTTGCGAAGAAGCAGCACTTTGATAAAATTCCGGCATTCTGCCTAAGTAGGGAAAAATATATGTATATATATATATATATATATATAAAATTCAGCGAGTGTTCCCGCTAGCATCTCTGCCTGCTGAGGATCTGCAAGCATTAACTGAAGCTGATTCTTTTTGGCTTTCCATTTTATGAGTTGATCTAAAAATTACAAAGATAAAATGAAAATAAGGGGAAAACACGGGAGGAAAAAAGGGAAGAGGAAAAAGTTTAGGGCCAAAGGGAAAAGTAAAAGAAAAGCGGTGACTCCGACTGCTTTGGGGGACAGTAGAACAGGATTCTACCACACAACCTCAAGTTTTTACTTTTACGGAATAATACACAAATAGTCCTTGGCTTACGGCCAAGAGTCTCAAAATCTTTTTTACGTGTGCTGGGCTGCGTGAACAGAGGGATAGAATCGAGATCACGTGAAGTGTTAATACCACTTTACAAGGCCTTGGTAAGGCCACACTTGGAATACTATTATTATTTTTATTATTATTAATTAAACTTCTACCCCGCCCTTCTCCTTACGGACTCAGGGCGGCTAACAACCAATAAAATACAAATACACCCCAAGACACCCCTTAAAACTTGGTTAAAAAGAAATATTTAAATTGGCTATAATTAATTAAAAATGTTTAAAAACCCCACTAAAAAATTTCCCCTTAGGCCAGTCCTGCTTGCTGAAATAACCATGTCTTGAGGGCGCGNTCTATTCTGTAATTCTTATTCTATTCTATTCTATTCTATTCTATTCTATTCTATTCTATTCTATTCTATTCTATTCTATTCTATTCTGTTCTGTTCTGTTCTGTTCTGTCCCTTCTCATCATGACTCCCGGCCTCTATCATTTGTCCCTGAGATTTCTTTTTATTTTGTCAGTTTTATAATTTTAAACATACCAATGCGCACAAATGTGCACAAACACGCAACCTTTAAAATTATTCCAGAATCTTTTAATCAACTGACTGGAAGGAATATTAGCTAAGGCTACCATTAGCTTTGCACATATATATTTACTGAACGCTATTAAGACTGGGAATAAATTAATAAAATATTAATTTGGCTTTAAATATTGCCCCCGTATTTTTTTGCCTCTGGTTTTAAGACGGTTTTTTTTTACCGTTTTCTAATCAAAAAAATATCTTGCCTTCTCCAGGATGCATAAATATCGCAATTGAGAACGATTATTTATTTTTTTAAAACTTAAGACAGTTAAAAAGAACTCATCTTTTTATTCATTCAGGCATCTGAAATCGGGCTCGTAAAGTTTTAGATTATCTTTCCCCCGGTTTGGTTTACATGCCATTTTATTTTGCAGTCCTGGCGTGGTGTATTTCATTCCTTTAACTGGTTTGAGAACTCTTCACGAAGCTGTGGCGCGGGAATCAATCAGCTGAAATAATTCTCTACTCAAATTTAAGGCACTTTAACACCCCTCTAGCGGTAAATTCACTTTGTTCGGAAAGCTTTTTGATTTTGGTGGCTGAGGAGTTTGCCAGCTGCCCCGATTATTGAGGGTTATTACGAACCTGAAGCCTTCCAGAGACATTGGATAACAGAATAAGAGCATTGGAAGGGACCTTGGAGGTCTTCTAGTCCAACCCCCTGCTCAAGCAGGAGACCCGCTACCATTTCAGTCAAATGGCTGTCCAGTCTCTAATTGAAAACCTCCAGTCATGAAGCACCCACAACTTCTGGAGGCAGGAGGTTCCACTGGTTAATTGTTCTCATGGTCAGGTAATTCCTTCCTTCCTTCCTTCCTTCCTTCCTTCCTTCCTTCCTTCCTTCCTTCCTTCCTTCCTTCCTTCCTTCCTTCCTTCCTTCCTTCCTTCCTTCCTTCCTTCCCTCCCTCCCTCCCTCCCTCCCTCCCTTTTCTTTCTTTCTTTCTTTCTTTCTTTCTTTCTTTCTTTCTTTCTTTCTTTCTTTCTTTCTTTCTTTCTCTCTCCCTCTCCCTCTCTCTCTCTCTCTCTCTCTCTTTCTTTCTCTCTGTAACGTTCAGGATCCAACATTTCTGTTTCTCAACTAGAAAATCTTAAGGACTAGAAATTTGGCTGAAGGGAAATCAAACTGATGCTGTCTTTTGCAGATGGGATTCAGCCCCCTTCAACCCTAACCCTTGGTTGTGATTCCCACCCTCCCCTTTGCCCTTCCTTCCTTCCTTCCTTCCTTCCTTCCTTCCTTCCTTCCTTCCTTCCTTCCTTCCTTCCTTCCTTCCTTCCATGATCACTGCAAACAACATTGCAAAATCGAATCGGACACACGGAGAACCTGCTTTATGACCGTCGCAATTTAACGACCGCCCTGAGCAGTCTCCATTGCAGTCGTTAAGTCAAGAACTACTTGTATCCCGCTTTTTTTTTTTTCATGTCCCAAAGGCCGTGGCTAAAATGCATCCGAAGTCAAAGTTATCCAAGGGATGTCAATTACAGGACGAAACTCTTAGAAAGAGGTCGTGCCTCTCGTTTTCAGACTCTACAACCACAAAAGCATTTGTGCACACACACACACACACACACACAAACACTGTTCCCAACCTTTAAACCACTTGGAGTCGTGCTTAACCGTGCGCAGGGTCGGGCTGTCTCCGAGGCTGCGGTAAATGACGGCGTCAATGGCCAGGAAGTCGGTCACCGTGGCCGTGAACAGCATCCCACCTACCCAGACGAGAGAGAAATTTTTAAAAAACTGCTGAAGAACTTATGATAGCCAAAAATGGAAAAGCATCGGGAGAGAATATCTGTGGCTCAGGGTTGAACTGTGGGGTCCCTGGTGCTCTCTGAGCTTGGTGGTTTCCTTGCAGACGTTTTGTGAGCCAACTAGGGAACAGCATCAGTGCTAGAAGGGAGAGGGTTTGCAGAGAGGAAGAGAAGGAGGAGGAGGAGGAGGAGAACTGTGGGGTCCTTGGCGCTCTCTGACCTTGTTTGTTTTCTTGCAGACGTTTCACGACCCAACTAGGTAACATCATTTAGAAGGGAGTGGGGTTTGTGGAGAGGAGGAGGAGGAGGAAGAGGAGGAGGAGGAGGAGGAGGAGGAGGAGG